CTCATTCTCTCACTCTTTTTTCCTGTTTCTTTCTCATAGTTATAATTGAATAAAACCCTTACTATTTTCTTATTTACCTATTATTGTCTTTTGGCATATGGTCTCATTGGAACCTTAATTTGGGCTGAGGCAGCTCTCAAAAATCAGGTCATAACAGTGGGTGATGCACAATAGCTGGATGATTTGGCTAGGTCTGTATCCCATGCATAATGCTACATAGAATAGTTTGTTGGAGAACTTAATTTGTAAAAAATTAAAAGCAGAGGTATATTTACACATAAAGAGACAAACAAAAAAGGTGAGAAAAATTATTGCAAAGAGAATATCTCCTATTGGAATATTCTGCTTTTAATGTAATATCAGAATCAGATATTTCCAGCCTGCATCCCTACAATAAACACCCTTTGCTGCAAGAAAGTAACACATCATACCTTTTTCTGCCTTGCTTGTATTATGCTTTTCCAGTAGGAGGTAACGAGGACTTTCAGGAAGAAAAGGCAGAATGATGACTTGTACCAATGCAGGAACAATGATTGCTCCAAATAAGAAAGGCCACCGAGACTCCTGCAAATGGATGCAAAAGTAAGTCAGTAATACTGTCCCATAGTGATACTGGCAAGAAAAAATCGCTTTGATGGGAAACCTTGTAATTTTTCATCATTCAATATAGTGTGTCAGTGACCAGGGCAATGTGCTCTTCCTGAGCTTAGTAAGTGGTTTGAACACCTCCCCCTTAGATCACCTTACTCAAGGATCAAGGAAGGCAGAATTCAAGCCACCAACTGAATGAGAATAAGAAGTGAGACACAGGGAAGTTGGAAAACAGCAATACATAACATGTTTTTCCTTTGTTTCAGCATCAACAACTATACATGTAAAATATATACAGTCAAACATAAAACCTGCACATCATACACACACACAATAGTATTATCCATTAGCTGCAAGAAACAGTACATTGCTCTATGAAAGATTTTTGATTTGCTTTTTATTATGCTAACTTCTAAAACCTTGAGGTAAACACCCATAAATATGCTCCCACTTGCCATTGGTGGCATGAGTTGATGGAAACTTCTCCATCCCTTCCAAAACTTACCAGGTGATGCCTATTCAGCTTTATGGTGAGACACTGGCCCAGGTTGCCCAGGGAGGCTGTGGCTGCCCCAACCCTGGCAGTGTTCACAGCCAGGTTGGATGAGCCTTGAGCAACCTGCTCTGGTGGGAGGTGTCCCTGCCCAGGGCAGGGGGTTGGGACTAGATGATTTATAAGATCCATTCCAACCCTTAAATTCTGTGATTCTATGATTCTATGGAACGTGTACTCTACTTGCTTTTCACTTAATTTACATTATCCATGTTAAAATTCTTCATCCCACTACAGAAAAGAAATAGGAGGACTAAAATAAATTTAAAATGGCTGAGAATCAGACTGAATCAGACCCTCTAAAAAGAATTAAAAGAAGAAGGGAAAAGGATGGTTTCATAACCTCTTTAAGGAGGAATGCTACAGGGCACAAACTGGGACAACGCTCAGAAGCAGTAAAAAGCTAAAGGCAAAAACCAGCGTAGGTGTGACTTAGATGACACATTAACACCTTGCCTCAGTTGTCAGCAGTAAGGAGAAGCACACAGACACAGCTGAGAGAAATGAAAACAACTACATCCCATTTTATCTCAGGGAAAACTTAAAAGAGCATTAAATATTTTAATTACACGGGACCTGATTCATCACCTGTTCAGAATTGGTACAAATAACATGTCAAGGTGGTAAAATTTTAATTTTAAACTGTCACATTATGGATATTTGCTTAGGCTAGAGCATGAAAAACCTGGCTTTGAGGTATTTACAAAAGACAGCTAAATAGTAGAGCTAGTTTGACAACCACAGACTCATCTAAAGGTTGATATAATATAGTGCAAAGCTGCAGAGATATAAAAGGGGGGGGTGAGGGTTATATTTATCAATTGCAAATGAGACAAGATTAAGTTGTACCAGAATACAGTAAAGCAAAGGTTACAATGTCAGAAAATCATCAGCTAAAATGCAGAAAATGAAACTTACTGTAGCCATCAAAAGGTTGACAAGAAACTGGCATGGGCAAATGTCAGCAGGCACTGCTGGCAGGGAACTACTGGTCCATATCAAGCTCAATGACTTATTTAAACACCAGTTACATTTAATATCTTCAGCAATTAAGAAGATTATGATAAAACGTGAAGACACCCTCAATACAGAACAGGTTAACAATATAAACATAGATAAATTTTGATAGGAAGAACTGAATTGTTGACAGTTGGGAAGAAGTGCTGTCCTGACCTGGGCATGGGCACTCATTTTTTGAAAGACTTAGTGAGGCTTATTAAGTATCCCAGTATGAGATGGATGACAGGATCAAAAAGACTGAGTAAGGAAATACACAACTGCAACAGGCAGTTTTTCATGTTTCTTTAAGATGCAGAAGCACATTTAAATTTTTATCCTGGCAAAATATAATCACACACAGAATTACATCTAGTGTAATTTCTAGATGCCCTGAAGCATCTTGCCTCACCTCCTGCTGCAGCCACAGAAGGATGCAGGTGTCACATCTGCCAGTCCCAGAGGGACATCTAAGGTACCCTAGGGCAACAAAATATTACTGTGTGCTTATATTCAACCGATTGAGTTTTGTCCTCTCTAGCAGAGACTTGGCACGAAAACCTCATATCAGAAATATGTTTTTGCCTCACAGAAACATCTCATCCCTTCTCAGAACTGGCTGAGTAAACTTACTTGGGTGTGCAAAGCTGAGAAGGCTGTATGAGCCCAACATTTCTCTGTTAATTTGCTACCATGCCACATAAAGTATTCCTAAAAGTAAAGAACAACCATACTGGCCTGGGGCCAAGGACTGAAAAAGCACTGAGATGGAAATAATTTCTTAGGATTAGAACTGTCTTTTCTTCCTTGAGTCAAGGGTATGGCACAGTGGGGATGATCATGAGACAGCTGAGAAAAGAGGACTTCTATATCTCAGGCTTCAGACCAGCTACTCAAATAGGTGCAGAACAACTACCTTCCTCTTACCTTCCTTCTGCCACTCCAAACACTTCTACAACCTTTTCTGTCTGCAGAGAACACTAGTCACAGAATCAATCAGGTTGGAAAAGACCTCTGATCTCACAGTTACATCCCTGCTGGACACAGTTTTCTCTTTGCATGACCATTCCTGTAACCCACTTTGTCAAAATGTGTTTCAATAACAGAGTTACGAATTACTTACCTTCTTGTTTCAGAGGCAACCCAGATAATATGTGAATATTGCCTCTGTTCTACACCCACATGGATATTTATTTCTACATGTCACTACTACAGGTATAGCTCTGACAACAAGATTGCCCAAGTCTCAGTATCTTCCCAGACATTAAGCAGTACAGAGTCACCAGATTGAAGGCTGTACAAGTCTAATACAAAATTCACAGAAGTCAGTGGGAGGTTTTTGTTACTGAGTAAATCACCTTTGGAACAGGACTTTAAGCAACCTTGGAAGTGTCCAAGTTCCATGTTTTTCTGTTCATTAAATTGCATCATGTACATATTGATAAAGAGAATTTAAGTCTCTGTTACAAGTTCCCAAGATGTTTTTTGGCCCAACGTTTTATTGGAGTAACAAGTAGCTTTTTACTGCACACTTACATGGCATTAGTAGTCTTCATTTCTTATTTATTTCCAAGAAAAATAAACATTTCAGAGAAAAGCAATGAGAAATTTCAAGCTTTCAGATGGGATTATTATCAGCAGCAGCATTTGTACTTGAGCTCCTTTACAAAGAAATATTAGAGGTATGTTGGAGCTAGGCAAAATTTCTGAAAAAACTTCCTTTCAGCAATGCAGGTAGTCTCAGGTTAACTTCAATAAATAATAAAAAATAAAATAGTGAATTAAAATAATCGAAGAGGATAAGATTCAGTTCCTCAAACATGAGCATATATTATCACTTGATGCCCTCAGGTGCCTTGGATGTCCCTGTGGGACTGGCAGATGCCACATATACAACTCCAGACACCTGTATCCTTTTGGAGCTGCAGCAGGAGGTGAATAAAAATGCTCCAGGGCATCTAGAAATCACATTAGATGAAAATTTTTATGTGATTATACTTTGTCAAAATGAAGTTATTTAAGTTAGGTTAAGGTACATCAAGATTTAAAAAAAGCAACAAAAGACCCAGACCTAAAAATACCCCAAGCACATCTGTTGTTTTAAAAACAACTGAAATTGTTGAATATTTGATCTTAACACTTTTTTTAATGGCAAAACAGTCTGGTTTAGATTCACAAAAACAAAACAAAGAAACAAAAACCCAAAAAATCCCCCCCAAAAAAACCCAAAAGCCCTAAACCAACTCATTTTAATTTGACATTTACTTCAAGCTTAAAAAAATCCCCAAAATACTAATCAAGACTATACCTCCTGGTTTCTCCTGTTGCCCACAGTTTCAAATGCAAACTAAGAAAACCAAGTCTAGAAAATACATCCTAGTACTCAATATGATGCAAGCCTGGATCTTTTCAATACTGCATACTGCCAATCAGCCATGTGTTATTCAAACTTCAGGAACTGAAGCTTCACAACACAACTTTAACAGACTGAAACTCGTTTGCAAACATGAAGACACACAGAGCTGTTTTCCCATGCACTACTTAATGAGCTTTGTACAGAAAAGGGATGAATGAATATCCTTGTGTCTGTCTCAGGGAACCAATAAAAATTATTTACAATCTCCAGTAAATACATAATCTCAGCCAATCCACAACAGGTATAAACAAAATACCTCACTTAGTGTCACCATTAGAAATATATCAACACCCACCACATCCCACCAGCAAGGCTGATGTGACAGAGTAGACCTCTTCCCATGGGTGTTATTGAACTATGAATATAAAGGGTCCTGGGAGCATTTCTGCACCCTTATCAGCACGACCAAGGATCTCTGCCTGGTGCCTGCACAGCATCTTCCCTTGGCTGCATCACCTAACTCTTGAGTGAGGTGACCTTCAAGACCCTGATCATCACCTCACAGCATGTAATGAAGTGCAAGAGTCTTGATAAAGACATGGAAATTGCTTCAGCAATAAGAAACTTTATGCCTTATGTGTTACTGTGAAAAGGGGAAGGAAATTTCCCATTGCTAGAAAAGAATCATAGAATCATAAAATTTTAGGGGTTGGAATGGACCTTAGAGATCGTCTAGTCCCAACCCCCTGCCCTGGGCAGGGACACCTCCCACCAGAGCAGGTTGCTCAAGGCTCATCCAACCTGGCTGTGAACACTGCCAGGGTTGGGGCATCTCCTATCTCCGTGGGCAACCTGTGCCCGTGTCTCACCACCCTCACAGGAAAAAGCTTTTTCCTAATATCTAACCCAAATTTTCCCTCCTTCAGTTTGAACCTGTCACTCCTTGTCCTATTGTTGCAGCTCCTAACACAGAGTCTCTCTCCAGCTTCCCTGGAGCCCCGTCAGTTCCTGGAAGGTGCTCTGAGGTCTCCACACAACCTTCTCTTCTCCAGGCTGAACAGCCCCAAC